AGAACTTTGTCCACAGGTTTAGGTGTAAAGCGATCTGGGGGCATTCCCTGTGTGGTTTGTTTAGATCAGGGGTCCCCAACCCCTGGTCCATGGCCCGGCGCCGGTCTATGGGCTCCCTTCAACTGGGCTGTGGACACGGATCACCACCCCTCCTGCCCACACGGGAAGGCATGTCATGCTTGCGGGTGGGCGTGTTGCAGTCACAGGTGGGTGTATTATGCTTTTGCGGCTCCCCATTGGCTGGGGGATGGGCCGGCGGTGTCTGCTACTGGCCACTTTGTTCTCTCAGACGGAACATTCGTTCTTCCTTGTTGGCCGCGGCTCTTCTGCCCTGGCGGCAACGGCAAATAAGCAGCAGCAGGAAAGGAAGAGAGAGGGAGGGAATGAGCAACAGACCATCAAGACCGACGGGCGGACAGGCGCAGGCTCTCTGCGGCAGGCTGTGAATAGAAACCCAGAGGAGGGGAGCACATGTGAGAAGGCTGTTCTCTCAGCATCCCTTCCCACGGCATGTCTGGGCTGGTAAGCGGAGGAGCGCCAAGCGGGAGGAAGGAGAAGTGCATGGCCAGGTTGCGAGGAGGTTCAGGCATGCACCCCTAGTGAGTCAACTGGCCCCAGCACACAGGTGTCAGGCAGCCTGGGAGGAGAGTAGGTTTTCACAAGTTCAGGCTGGCCAGAGGGAGTCCATGCACCTCAGCTGCAGAGAGGACAGGGCAACAGCAGCAGCGGCTACAGCGGCACCGGTGCCGAGAGGTGGCCCAACGAGGCGCTCAAGATAAGGGCTCTCTGTTGCCCCCTCCTTCCCTGGCACGTTGCCGGAGCGTTTCAGAGCACCTCGCCAGGTGACCCGTGAAGAGCAGTGGGGTGGGGGTGGGGAGAGAGAGGGAAACCTAAAACCAGAAGCCGCGGTGGCACCATACCCCTGACCCCACAAGCTCACCACTTTGGAGGGAGAAGATTGCCGGGCAGGGAGAGGGCTCCCCTTCTGGATGCATGGGTGCTTCAGGGGGCAAGTGGGACCCAGCCCCTACGAGGTGGGGAGGCTCAGCGGTGGAGTTGCTCCTGTGCCTCCCAGGACCAGGAAGACAACTGTGAAGGAGGACCCTTCTGGGAGCGCCAGATGAGGAAGCCCCACACTGACCAAGTAGGTGCTGCTGCTGCTGCTCCCGCTCCCGGTTGGGCTGAAATTAGAAGCCATGCCCACTCACGAGCATGGGGGCACCCCCACCCCCCAACCAGTCCATGCACGGAGCCAACACCCCCCAAATGGTCCACAGTCCCAAAAAGATTGGGGACCACTCATCTATTACACATGAAGAAGACTACACTAAGGTAAATCTCCATATCAATGCAACCCTAAAGCACAGACCTTTTCATCAAGGTTACAGTGCCCCACTCTACTATGAGCTGGAAGATTATAGTGGACCTGGAAAAGAATATGTCAACAAATACATTCCAACATGGGGAACTGTCACCAATGAACGTAAGATTTGATTCTTTTGATAGTGGCAGTATCACAGCCAAGTGGTAGGGTGCATTCATGGGAGATGAAATTGTTCCATGTCGTTTGAAGGAGAGAGGATGTAAGTAAAGGAGAAAGAAAGAGGTGGGGGTTAGCCCACCATAGCCCAGTATAGCCTACCTTAGTTCAGCTTAGTAGTTTGTTATTTTTTATGGGAAATAATTATCTTATTTTGAAGGGATGTGGTGGCGCTGTGGGTTAAACTGCAGAAGTCTCTGTGCTGCAAGGTCAGAAGACCAGCAGTCGTAAGATCAAATCCACGTGACAGAGTGAGCTCCTGTCGCTTCTTCCAGCTCCTGCCAGCCTAGCAGTTCGAAAGCATGTAAATGCGAGTAGATAAATAGGTACCACCACGGTGGGAAGGTAACAGTGTTCCGTGTCTAGTTGCTCTGGCCACGTGATCACGGAAACTGTCTACAGACAGACGCTGGCTCTATGGCTTGGAGACGGGGATGAGCACCGCACTCTAGAGTTGGACACGACTGGACTAAATGTCAAGCGGGACCTTTACCTTTACCTAGTTGTCTTATTTAGGGATGCCAATATTTTTGGCCATGACTAGAAGATTTCTGAATTTGTATTTGCAAACAACAATTGTATGCTTCGTTTATCTGTTATTGAAATACTGAAAACTAAAAACTACCAATAAAATAAAATATAAGGACAATACAGACCACAATATTGTACCATGGTAAATCTAGTTGTATCTACACTTTCACTTATTCAGGAGAGCTGATTTCTTCATGGAGACAAGGATTGTTCTTTTTAGGGGAATAAATTATTAATATATTTAAATGAATATAAATGTTTGGGGAGAATAGCAGGTGAACAGATGCTGTAATCCCATGTACTGATGGCTGAGTCCAAGTCTAAAATGTCGAAATATTCCTTTTTTTTATGGGAAATTTCATAGAGTCCCTTTGTATAATCCTCTTAGAGGAGAAAGAAGCTATTTTAATTCTTCAAAGAAAACTGTAAAACTTTCTTTTCTTTTTATATTTGACATTTTCCATGCCTCTGGGAACAGTGGCAATTTTTCAGAAAAATCAAATTTCAGTGAAATATATGTGTACCTTTTTCTTGAGATACAGTTTTGTTTTAACAATAAATGGTTTGTGTTTTTTGTTTCCAACTACTGGACTGCTAGATGTTGAATGTAAGGCACTTCTGAAACATATTTCGATGTTTGGAAAAATCTTGTTTTCATTGTATGCTGTTAAAACAAAGAACTGCTGGAGGGCTGAGTGGCTTAGGTTCCTGGCTAGGGAGCTGGAGGTTGAGACTTTAATTCCCCTGTGGTGCCTACTTGAGAAGGGCTAGATTCGATGATGCATAGGGTCCCTTCCAGCTCTCCAGTTCTAAAATTAGATTAGATGACTTCCAGCTCTGCAGTTCAAAAGTTAATATTATTATAAAGAAATAAACCAAGCACTACTAAGCATATTTTTCCAGATAACTGGTCACAAAACGGTAAACGGTGCTTACGGACGGAATAATTCACTAGCCCTTTAACATCAGAAACAATGCAAATCCCTGCAACATACTCTTCTCTGACAAGGTGAAAATTACTTTAATTGTTGTATTGGGATGGGGGTGGGGTGGGGGGAATCTTGCATTGGCTGAACTGTGCAGTATTTCCAACCCCAGTAAGAATGTCAGTGTATTAAAGATTAACATTAGGATTAAAGTTATCATCAGGGTTGGGTGAGGCTAGAGTTTCATCTGCATTTGTATTTCTTGAACCGAGTGAGAATTGTGATGTGACTAGACTGCAGCTCATCATCTGCCGGTTCAGCCTCCAGATTGCTTAAGTTTGCAGGAGATGATGACTTCTGATTTCACCTATTATCTGTTCCATGATGACAACTAACAAAGTGGTAGATATTTTGCTTGCCTGAGACCAACAGAGTGCCACTTTCCATGTTCTGTGTTGAAAAGATAGCCAAATAAAAGCTGAATCTTAATTCAACGCTTCTGAAGGGAAAACATCCTCTGCTGCACCCTAGGGCAGCAAACTAGCTTATGGGACACAGGACACACTGTATGGCACAAACTGTACACCTCTGTTCTGTTCTTTAGTGTAGTATTTGCTACTTGAATTGATGGTCTTGCTTTGCCTTATGATAGAGCTTATGAATTTCTTTTGAAGGTAACTGCTCTTGATAGAGCTGTTTCACATCTTTGCAACAACCAACCTTGAGTTCAATGAGGGTAAAATCTTTAAAAAGCAACCACCTGCTTTGCTTATGCCTGGATGAAGAGGCGGTCGCTATGGAGGCAATAAGAAAGAAAAACAATCAAAGCTTTGTTGCTGATTTTGCTTCTGTATACAGTGGTGCCTCGACTTGCAAACTTAATCCGTTCCGGAAGATGGTTGTAACTTGAAATGGTCATAAGTCGCAGCATCATTTCCCATTGAAATTCAGTTAATCCGTTCCGGCCGAATAAAAAAAAATCACCAGAAAACCCCCCAAACACTGCAAGACCCATTGGAAACGAGATTAATCCATTCAGGCTGAAGGGGGGGAAAGCAAGCTAAGTGTGCAAGACACTTCGGAAGTGGGGGAAAGGTAAAGCAGAAAGCAAGCAAAGCATGCAAGATACATCGGAAATGGTGGGGGAGCAAGCAAAATCCCCAAGACCGATTGGAAATGGGGGGAAAATACCAACAAACAAACCCCCCAAGACCCATCACAGCACAGAAACATAACTCTCCCAGCCCAAAACCACACTGCAAAACCAACCCAGAACAGTTTTTAAAAAGCAGAAAGCAGCACCTTACCTTACCAGGCAGTCCCAAGCCTCCTCCGACGCACTCACTCTAACCATTGGGGTGAAAGAGCTACAAAGAAGCAGCTTCTTCGCCTACCAACAATTTGAATTTCCCGCCTTCTTTCCCTGCCTTTTTTCCTGTTTGTAACTGGAAGCTCTGGCCACAAGTTTTGTGGCCGGAGCTGGTCGTGACTTGAAATGTTTGTAAGTTGGGACATTCGTAAGTCGAGGCACCACTGTAATCAAAAAGGTATATATGTTTGAATGGGTTGCAGCAGGTGTTTCCAGCAGCCCACTTATGTTGTGATGCAGTACACTAGGCTTTAAACAAATGTTGGTCCTACTTAACACACTGTGGGAGATGAGGTCAAAGATTAGAAGAATTTGATGATACAAAAGTGGTATTTGGCTAGTGGATAAAGGTTAATTACCTCTAATGCATCAAAAGCTCTGTGGGATATTATTAATAATAATTTAGGTAGCCTAGGAGATACAGTATATATGAGGCTGGTGTATATGGCAGTCTGCAGATATATATGACAATCTGCAGAAAACTGGGCTCCTCATAATTCCTCAGTGGGCAATCAAAAAGTTTTCATACTCTTTCCTCCAATCACAAGGGAGCTGAACGCAGACTGATGGTAAGGAGGCCAGTCTTGATTCTTCAGATTTTAGACATTAGTGCATATCTTCTCTACCACAGTAATACTTAAGATTGTATTCACTGTATCTTATATGCTGCAACTGTTCTGCATAGTAAGGGAAATTGTAACTGGGATATTAATATTATATGATATCCACTTTCTTATAGGCTAAAGAAAAAGTCCCAGTCTATTGACATCTCTGGATCAGGCTATGAACCCCTGGCACCAGCAGCACAACATGCAATGCAACCAACTAAACCGACACCTGTCATTAAGACAGCCACTTTTGAAGAGGAACAGAACAACACAGCAAATACACAACGGCGTACTCCACGGAGGGGTGAGCTGAAGAGATACTACACCATTGGTGAGCTAGTAAACTTACATTTTCCTTTTAAAACATCTAAATCTGTTGCACTAGAATTTCATTCTTGTTATTTAATAGCCAGTCAGGTATTCATTGGTTTGGTTGACTAGAGCAGCTGGATTTCTGTTGTATACAGTGGTGCCTCACTTGATGATGATAAGTGATTTGTGTCGTATACAGTGGTGCCTCACTTGACGACGATAATCCGTTCCAGCAAAATCACGGTAGAATGAAATTGTCGTCAAGCAAAAGTAAAAAGCCCATTGAAATGCATTAAAAACTGGTTAATGCGTTCCAATGGGTGAAATACCTCACCATCCAGCGAAGATCCTCCATAGGGCAGCCATTTTCTGGTGCCTGTAATGCGAGGAATCCGTCCTGAAAACTGCGGGGAGGCATTTTGCACAGCGGGGAGCCATTTTGAAACCTGACAATCAGCTGTTTTTAGATCGTTGTAAAGCGAAAAATCGGTTCCTGAAGCAGGGAATCGATCATCATCAAGCGATTTTTTTTTCCTGTTAAAACATTGTTTTGTGATCACAAAAGCGATCGCAAAAACCACATCATTAAGCAATTTCATCATTAAACGGGATAATCGTTAAGCGGGGCACCACTGTACTCAGTATTGTGTTCCCATCTGTTGTGAGCGTTAGAGCATGCCCTTAATTAAGCATGTTACTTCAGTAAGAAACATAGGTGCATAAGTTTGTTGTGTTATCCTTGCATGAAGCAAAAAGAATTGTCTGGACCTCTGCGGCTTTTGGAGTTGGTAGGGGGATGGGAGAAACTGGGCCTCTCCTTTTTTATGGACTCTTCCATTTGCAAAGGAAATTAAAAAACAAAACAGAACTTTTTCTGTGTAACAAAGTTGTCAGCATTTAAGAAAAACTAAATATGTATCTTTTTAAAAAAATATGTTGGTATTTTAATCAGTCGTTTAATTGTATGCAACTTTTAAATAACTATGCTTGAGCAATAAATAGAAGTTGCAATTTCAACCTCAGCTGGAAATTTTTTATTGCTTTGTGAACTCTGTAATGCAGGAGAAAAGTCTTGCTTGAGCTGCATCCATAACTTAGTGGGAATCGGCTTCCAGATTTTCCACAGAGCGATCATGAGAGCTGAAAGTAATTTTTTTGTCTGGAGCTAGAGGTCTGCCTGGCACTGTGTGACAAAATTGCTAATCAACAGGAGCTGTATGTTAGCATTATTACATGATGAAGACAGAAAAGTGTTTTTTGATTCATTTCATTTCTCCACCCCCCAAAAGACATCCCAGCAGAAGCCAATTCTGCAGAGATCCAGAAAGATAAAGGAAAAGATAAATGGTTGTTGTGGGTTTTTTGGGCTCTTTGGCCATGTTCTGAAGGTTGTTCTTCCTGACATTTTGCCAGTCTCTGTGGCCAGCATCTTCAGAGGACAGCACTCTGTGCTCTGTTGCAGTTTGTTTGTGAGTTGAGTATTTATGGCTGTGAGATAGGCTTTTGTCCTTATCAGGAGATGGGTGATTATGGTGATCAGTGTGTCTTTGTTGTGGGTGTATTGTTGTGATAAGGAGGAGAGATGATCTGTCAGTGATTGATGGATGTCATTAGCTGGTCTTTTGTGTGTAGTGATCACCGGTCCTTGTGGCTGGGTAGAGTTCGTTGACCTTTTGCACACTGTATTTTTCAGTGCTGGGAGCCATGTTTTGTTGAGTTTCAAACTTTCCTCTTTTTTTGTTGACGTTTTGCTGGTGTTTGTGGATTTCAATGGCTTCCCTGTGCAGTCTAACATAATGATTGCTGGTGTTGTCGAGTATTTCAGTTTTTTGAAATAGAATTTCATGTCCAGCTTGTTCAGCTACTGTCGATTTTCCTGTTTGTTTTAGTCTGCAGTGTCTCTCATGTTCTTTGATTCTGGTGTGGATGCTTCGTTTTGTGGTTCCAATATATCCCCGGCCAAAACTGCAAGGTATCCAGTATACTCCTGCAGTAGTGAGGGGATCCCTTCTGTCCTTTGCTGACTGTAACATTTGTTGTATTTTTGTGGTGGGGTTGAATACTGTTTATAGGTTGTGTTTTTTCAAAAGTTTCCCCATGCCGTCCATGACCTGCGGACCGCATGGCGAAAGATAAATATCCAACTTGTTTCCTTTCCTGCAGCCCCCTTCTATGCTTTCTGAGTTTAAAGATCACTCACTCATGGTGTACAATGCATGCATTGAATCCAAGAACTGTTTGTTTATCATGGGGATCTAGGTTTGTTTGTGGGAGATGACACTCTAGTCATCTCCAGATAGGGATGACATCAGAATCAGTGGCCACTTTGCCCATCAGTTCCTAAAAGAAAAGGTTTATTTCCAAATGTGGTGCTTTTCTCTTAGATAGAAACAGCTGTTATTTGCTGGTACAGTAGGACCCCTATATCCATGGGATCAGTATTTACTAATTTACTTATCCATGGTCTGAAAATATGAAAAATATTAAAAGAAAGAAAATAGAAATACTGTACATATTTCCAAACATGAAGTTAGCAAAACTGGCCACTAGAGGGAGCTAGATACCATGCTGCATATAGTGTTCACTATAATCCACATTTTTCAGCTTTGGCATGGAGGCTTAGAACTGATCCCCTGCTGATACAGGGGTCCTGTTGTATAAGAAAGTGGGCCAAAAGCGAAACCTCCCTCCTTTAATCAAGTGGGGAAATTCTCAAACAACTATTTGTTAAATTTCAGTCCACTTGTTTACTAGAAATGTGGTGAGATAGTTTATATCTGCATATTATAATTCACCTATGGCTCTACTTGCTGGACTGATCCAGTTTCTGATTGCACGAGAATAAGAGGGCAGGGCATTCCAAGTGACTGAAATCACAAGCCCTGGTAGCAAAACCTTTCTTCTTATACCACTGGCTAAGCCTTCAGGCTATATGAACAACTTGTTCTTCACAGTTTCTGTCTGAGCAGTAGAATGTTTGTGAACATGCTATGGGATCATAGTGGTACCAGATGACTTTGTGAACTTTGGCTCTTGGAGCCATTAAGATTTGGGACATAGTGGTTCAGAGCAGCTTCCTATGTGATGTGGATGGAAAAGGCATTCTGTGGCGTATAAAGTGGGGGGGGGAGTACAATAAAAGAGAGATGTAGCTCATTGACAGTCCATACACTTTGAATGCAGAAATAGCTAGGTGTTATCTCCAGTCCATGCAGAATGCACCGGAAAGTGATGCAGTCTAAAATTCTGAAGGCCTCTAGCTAGTTAATAGACAATATTAAACTAGAGAGACTATTGATGTGCTTTGATACAAGGCAGTTCTTATATCCAGGATACTTTGGCTAGTCAATGTTACAAGGTTTCCATGTTAAAAGATATTCATTAATTTTTGTGAACTGATGATAATGAGCAGCATTTTGGTTTGCAGTGTGTGATATCAGGCTTGTTAGGCACTTTCTGAAGTTTTTCACTTTTGAGATTATGCAGAAACCTAGTTATTCTAATTGCTTTGAGGCCATTCCTCCTTAGGTTATAAAAAGTGAAAGATATTAATCCTTCAAGAAGCTGGAGCTAAAACATTCATTTTTCAAAAGAGAGGGAAGCATAGAGTTGGCAGGAAAAATGATTTGTTTTACATAAAATTCTAAAGTACATAATTATATGTTTCCTTACACTTACCAAGTCTGTAAGCAGCCTCACGCAGCTGCTTAATCACCTTCTCTGTCTAAAATGTGAGCTGTTCCCTGGAGGATATATCAGCCTAGAGAATGTGACATTTCATCTTAAATCTTTCTTCAGAAACTAGAAAAAAGAAAATTAAGTACAAACTGTGAGATTCAGTTTCCCCATATGAAATACTTATCAGTTCCTGATAGAGTAAGATATATCTGTCTTGGTGTGTGTTTTTAATGCATTTCACTGCTTGTCTTGATGGATTTGTGAACTGTTTACGTATTGTTGAAAGGAGGATGAACAATGAAGTATAGGATGCATTCTGTTGGAAAGGAGAGTCAAGTCAAACTCCTGGGACAGCTTTTTAAAAACTTTCAGAAAGATTTCCATTCATGGCTAGTGAAAGGAAAACTGAAACTCCAATGGGAGAAAAGCAATGGCTTGCATCAGTTAAGGATATCTGTTTCTTGTAGGAATGTCCCAACTAAAGGTGAATACTTAGCATACCCCTATGATTTTCTTCCTTGGGCTGACCAGACTTCAGATCTGCTTACCATCAACAAAGTTGCTGCACTGTATCCTGCATTACCAAATAGAGCAAGTCGTTTACTTTTAACATTCCTACAACTATGACATAATTTTACTTATTAGATGGCTAACACCCAATTATTAGGAAGACTTTGTTCATGGTTTATTATTGGGACTCATCCCAGACCTCAATGCAGGAACAATTTTGGATGAAACAGCTAAAAAAATATATTCTTGAGATGATGCTGCAGAAGTAATGTGGAGTGTTAGTATGCACACTGCATACAAAGTATTGCACGGAGCAGATCATAGTCAACAAGATCCATGTGAAATTCTAGGAAAATGCAGATTGGGGATTGCAGGGCCTTTGGTGTGGAAAGGGGGCATGTTTTCAGGACCCCATGAGATCTGGAACTGGTGCACTTCAAATTTTGGAAAAGGTATCATCTGTAAACAGTCCAAAAACCACATGAATTCATCCACTTTCTAGTTGAGATCATCTACAATATACTGGTCAATGAAAAAATCACTGAACAACATGAAACAGCAAAATACTTTTGGAGGCCGGATTGCAATGGCCTAATAATTACCATTATAAATAGATTAATAAACTGTATCCATGTATAGTTTGAATATAATTTTTGTTTGTTGCTTAGGGATTTTTTTTCTTTTATGGCTGCTACCTCAACTGGGTTTTCTTCTTTCTAGATGGTATTAATTTGTGATGTGTTAAAATTGAGTTGAACAATTAAGAGTCAATATTTATTTGATTATTAGCTTCTTAATCAGACAGGTTCATACTAGGCGAATAAGAAGAGT